GGGGTGAGCAGGGGCTGCCCGCGGGGACGGCGCTGCGGGGACGTTCGGCACCTCTGGGCAAGCAGAGAGCAAGGGGCAGGGGTGGTCTCAGCACGGTACGAGTCGTGAGCCCGGCAGTGCTGGCATTCGCCATTTGCAGGAGTGACAAAGAAAACCTTTAGGAGATGGTTTACGCTTCTAAAACAAGCCCTCCTTCTCAGCAACGGAGGAAAGCTGTTAAGAAACCAGACCGCTTTGGAGGAGAGCGAGACACCGCGGCACGAGCCCTCGGTTATTAAGGGGAGCGGGCAGACGTGACAAGACCTGACTCTGTTCCCCCTGCACCGGCACCGGAGGACATACCCAAGGGGAACATCGTGGGTGTGTTCTTTGACATAAAAACAAGTAGCTTTTTTTCAGGACACAATAAGGTGGGTTTGATGATCAGTTCAGGTTGGAAAAGGGTTACTGTATTTTTGTAAGAGATGGCAGGTTTCCATCCAGTGAAGGCAACTAAGGAAAGGCACAGTTTGAGTCTCTCCTCGCTACAGATCTAGGCAGTATTTTTAGATGAGCTTCTTGACATTTCTGGCATGCGGAAGAGCAAGACGAGACTTTAGAAAGCCTTCCTCAAGATGCGAGTGGTACACGGTACTGTTACGAGTTCATCTCCTGCTTAAGAGTAAGAGAGGTCTTCCTAAAAATGCTATGCGATACATCATCTTGTTCCTTACCTGATGATTCTTCTCTTTTATATTTTTTAAAACTATTAGAAGAATTTCTGGGAAAAGGCTGATAAAGATCAGGAGAATTATTGCCAGCCATGTGGAAACAGAAGTCAGCATATGGGCAAATACAAAATACATTCTTTGCTGCTTCAAGAAAGGCCTGAAAAAGAAAGGATACAAATAAATTCTGGTTAACATGAATTTCCCAAGAAGGTCAGAATCAAAGGCAGATTCAGATCAAACTGTAGCAGTAACGCCTCCCTTTCAGATGGAGATGGATACAGCCTGCACAGAAACACACTGTCTGTCCTTCTCCCAACGCATCTCCTGCCTTCAACCGCCCTAGTCCTGTCACCTTACACGATGCATTTTGCATCTTCCACATCTGCTTCATTTCGGGGTGGGGAGGGGTTTGAATTTTGCTACTATCATCAATTTTCCTAGTATCACTGAAAGACAAATTATTCACCTTACCAGATCATTTTATTTCAACTCTGGACTTTGCTACAGCTTCTGGTTTGCTTTTGATGGTGGAAATCCAGACACTCTCGGTCCCGATAGGTTATTTGCCCCTTCCTCCCTCCCTTGATGATGGAGGGGAACCGACAGATGCTTGTGAAAAATGCCTCATAAATAACTGATGACAAGGATCCCAAAGCAGCTGTTGCTTGGCATTAACTCAAAAATACTGAGCTACGCAAGTTAAACACACCAGTAGAAAACTCACACATTTCAGCGTAGAGGTCTGGCTAGATCGCAGGTCTGAATCTGTTAGTTAGGAACGCTGAAGAGTTAAACAAAGCCTGTTGCCCCCGATTAAAATATTTAAATCCATTCCACGTCTTTATTAGCATGCTGCTGGGTCAAGGATCTAGCCAATAACCCACGGCACTAGCCCATGGGACAGCAAAGGTGTAAAATGGGAGATGCTGTCTACTGCGAATGTCAACGTGAATGTCTATTCCAGCACGGGAAATAGAAAACTAAAAATTTTTGTCATGTACTATTGCTTGCCTGCTTTTGCAAGACATTAAGTCTAAAATCCTGGTTGCACTCAAATCAATGAGAATTTCTTCTCCTACTCAGATCCAGGATTTCAGCAGCAGGATCTGTGCTTTCTCCTGCTTATTTCTCCCCCTTAAGCTGCCCCAGTGTGCCGGGTCCTCTTGCTCTGCATCTGCCTCATCTTTTCTTTCCTTCCGTTATCACTAGGTTTCTTTCCACCATCAATTTTTCCTTTCTTTCCCACCCACAGGCACAAACAGATCCTGAAATATTTATCCCGGAACCTCCCAATGAAGACAAGGACCTCAGCACCAGAAATGACCCCGCGGGCAGAAAAGCAAACCACCTCTTGCCAAAGCCGAGCACCTGGATGACGACCAGGGCGTTACCTGCTTTTAGGCTACCTCTTCGGTAGGGAGAGGAGCATGGCTGCACACACCCTGCCACCCGTAAATCTCTGGATAGCCCAACCGAGGGGATACTGCAGCCACGTCCCCCGCAAAGCCAGCGCGGGGCATTCCCCGAAGAAAGCGCCATGGAAAGAAGAAAAGATACTTGCCAAACGACTCCTCCCCAAAAGAACGAGAAAAACACATAGAAGGCAAGGGAGCCCCAAATCACAAAGTGGTTCATCCACGTCCAGAATCGGGTATCTAACGCTAGCTGTGTGAATAAAAAAAAGAGACAGAACAGGCGTTAGATGCAGAGTGTATTTGATTGTATTTATATGAAATTTCTGACTGCTTTCACAGTAAGGTTGAAATTCTCCCAATAGCCACCTCTCCGCATATGTGCGCCAGGGAAAATATTTTCAATACCTACAGATTGGCACAATGTCAACAGGGATACAGCGAGTTTCTAATTGTAACTGACACTTTTTAATAGAATAAATTTGATGCAACCTCTGACGCTACACGAAAAAAATGTCTAAAGGTTACGGGGACTGTAATTGCCTCCTGCCACCACCTGCTGTCCTGAACCAAACATAGAAGACCTTTTGTAAGGTCTTATGCAAACCGTTCGTTCTGGAAAGCTCCGTAAAACAAAGCAGATTTGCTATTATTATTTGACAGATGTGCTTTTGTGATCCCTCCGGTGCTCAGCAGTGTCTGAAACAAGGTGGACAAACCCAAGATCTCTATCGTTCCTCTCCTCTTGCTGGAATTGAATTCCAAGGGGTGAAAGTGTGAGAAAAAGTCAACCGTAACCAACTGGAATCCTCAGAAGAGGGCAAAAAATAGGAAAATAATTTAACCAAAACATAAACACTTATAGACCAGCAGAGCCCAGGAATACAGACTGTAGACTATACAAAGGACAGCAGTCAATTAGCAAGTTCTGCCTCTATGGAAGAAGAGAAGATTTAAGTGTGGTGGGAAACATATCCACAGAAACTTCACCTTCAACACATTCATTGCACGATTTTACAGCGTGTACACATGCATTGGAAAATGGCTGCAAAAACAAGTGACTGAAAAAGGAAGGAAGAGCCTAACCTTCAGAGTGACGGTGAACACCAGCACGGTGAAAACAATCGTCCCAAAGGTCCAATTTCCAAAAACCTGAAAAACACATTACATTGCCACAGGCGTCTCAGTCCATCTCCTTGGAGAGGCACAGAAACGACGATGAGGACAGGGGTGCAAGCAGGGACCAGAGGGGAAGGACGGGATGGAGATACTGCTACGGGGGATTGATGCTCGGAGAGGCGATGGGCGCCCCGCACGACTCACCGCCCGCTACGCTACCCTGTGCCATGCAGTGCCACACGGATGGGTGACCCAGAGTTGGGACGGTGACAGGAACAACCTCCTACTAACAGCAATGTCGATCGAGGATACAAGTCATTGGACCACCTGTATTTCATGATTTCTTGGTAATTTACTCAGTTTCTGCTTTCTCGCAACACCTCTGCTCATCGTCTCGCTTTAGTCCCATTTGCAGAACGCACCAATGGGTATTTTTTCCATCTGGTTTGGTTTGCGGATACTAGTGACTACGCACGACAAAGAAAAGCAGATACTGTATATAAATCCAAATGATGGCAATGAATGGGAGGGATGCTTACCAAAGGCTGTCAAGATCTGAATGCATACATTAAAACAGAAAGTGAAATGTAAAAGTTTTCAAAAAATGCAAAAAAATTAAAGTCAATAGGAGCGAAAAAGGAGTCAATCAAACATACATGGATATTATGAACAATTGCTGGTAGCAGTTCTTACAGGCATAAGTGTTTACAAAACAGGACGTAACCACAGATCTTATTTTAGTGCCACATAGACTTGATCTCTCAAGGCATTTGCAGAACATATCAGTGCTTCGTGTTTTATTCAAATACAACCAGAATGGCCATAAATACAGAAAGGCACTGAATCTACAATATAGGGGCTTGACTAATGCTGGCTTTGATGCAACATATGCATATACATACATAAATTTAATCAGCTTTTCTCCAAGTGTTAGCGACTAAAAAAAGCGAATGTATTTTCAAAAGTCAAAAGTGATGGTGTAAAGAAGTTTTCCATCAGCTGAGATCTGATAACACACTGTGTAACCCCTTTGGAAAAGGGTCCTGAGACAGCCCAGGCCACCATGTGTGGCAGCCACACTGCATTAATACTTTACTCTGTACTCAGTTAACCAGCAAAAAGGGAAAAAAAAAAAAAAAAGGAAAAAGAAAAAAAAAATTCAATCTTTTTTTTTCCCCATTTCTGTGCAAGTTAACCCGGAGCAGCTCCCACACCTCGCTCACGTGGCGATGCAAAGGCTTGTCCCGACACAAGAGGCACGAGCAAGCAGACAGCAGGGAGAACAGCCTGCTCGTTCTGACAGCGGCGCTAACTTATGCTGGCTTCGAAACGGCAGCAAAAACCCAGCACCAGCCTTCCCCCATTGCAAAGGGAGGAGGACGGCTGAAATCACGCCCTGGAGCCGGTGCAGCACACAAGCAGCCCTGTGCCATGTCTGCGCTGACAAGCAGCACCTTATCAAGGTGGGATAATTCAGTCGCTCGTCACCAGCCGAACACGTGCCGAATTTTACACGGCACGCTGGTGAGAAGGACGGATACTGCTCCTGCCCTGGGCCAACGCCTGGGACCATGCGGAAGAGTGGAAGAGCGCCGTGCAAAGCTCACCAGGTTGGAATAAAGCTGTGTGTAAGACTAGTTATTTTACCTAGTGAGTATAACCAGCTCTGCCCTGTTTCCATGGCAATTTGGAAAACGTTTCGTTTCAAGCATTTGCTGCAAAATCACACCACAAGCAAGGCTACGCTGTTGGACAAGACTCAAGACACACCGCACAGATTAAGCGTGTAGATATTCGCTGCCAGGCGTATAAAAGAGGCAGTGCACAAAAGAAACACTCATCTTTCTCTTTCTTTTTTTGGTGGTGTTACCTTTCCGTTATCTTCCAACGACGAATTTTGAAAAAGAAAATAAACCCCAAAGAAAAACACGAGTCCTTCAAAGGCGCCCAAGAAGGTCCAGTACAGGAATGGCCTCCACTGCAGCATTGCATTATCCGACACCTTCCTGCCAAGAGACGGAGTAACAAGAACATCACCATCACATTTAGGATGCGCTGCAAAGCCCCTTGCAGCGGGCTTTGGAGCAAGCCCTTGTTGTAGGAGACAAGGAGGTAGAACACATAAGTATCTGTCAGCATACAGGACATAAACAACATTTGCCATATGCAGCTGCTGGTCATGAGAAATCATAAGAGGTTCAGCATATTAATTTTTGTCCTTCTCCTTTAGATAACTTGGATTAAAATCCAAGCCAGCCCAAAGCAAACAGCTGTAATGCTGTCCTGAGCCTCTCCCACAGCCCCTGCACTGCCCACGCTCTCTGACATTAATTGCTGGATTTTAAAACCAGGGCAATGCTAAAGAAGAGCCCTACGGGATACAGCGAATCTGTGGCATGTTTCCCCCTTTTTGTTGAATGCACAAACTCCCTCTTCGAGCAAAGCTCTGCAAGTCCCATTTCTGGAAGCAGTGTTTTTCTGCACAGGCTGAAAATAACCTCCTGAATCGTATGGTGGGTGTTTTTAACACGGGGGTTGTAGCAGGAGGCTCTTGGCTGAATATAGGATGAGATCTGGCACGGAGGCAGCAGCAGCAAACGGATGCGCTATGGGCAGAGCTCTGCACGGACTGCAGGCAAAGCCCGCGGAGAGGAGAGCGGCCGTCAGGGCAGCAGGGAGTTAAAAAAAAGTTTCCTGCATCATTACCTTTTCAGATTACTTTCCTTAAAATTTGAAGATTGATGAGGGATAAAAGCATGTTTATGGCAAATCCAAAAATCCCCATTCTTTTCTCATTTTTCTTCCTAACTATTAAAGCAATACATCCATTTTCAGCAAGATGCACCTTGCAAACCAGTGTGGTGCCGGGCTCCTATAATTGCAGTTTCTAAAACAAAACCCTAGGGAATCCTATGCACCATGTTACAGTGGCAATGCTCTAACGTTCTGCAGTTTGGGTATGAGTAAGGAGCACGGAGAAACGAGACTGTAAGTGGGTTTTATTGCAAGGAGAGAGAAAATACAACCCAACTTCTTCATTGCAAGCTCTGTTGTGTATTTATGTCCTGCAGCACTCATCGTAAACAGGATTTTTACAGCACCTCAGACTAGAGATCTGCACTGCAGCAACTCAGCACTTCATAAAGCAGAGGCACAGCAGTTGTTCTGCATTCAGCAGCACATGCACAATCATGAATATTCAAACTAAAGCTATCTGCCTGCACAATTAATCTGTTTTCCCTCAATGGACAGACCCCAGAGATCAGAGAGCCCACCAGGCCAATGCACAGGGGCCTGCTGTTATTGGTCTGTGCCGCACAATATTCAATTACCAATGTATTTAAAGATACATGCGATGGCATTTCGTCATACGAGCGGAGGAACACAGAGGTCTAACCAATCAGGGACCTGAGTACTTATTTCAAAAGCACCCAAGCCCCCTTCCTAGTCTTACCGCCCTTATTGCATTTGCTGATTTTTCTATCCCTAAAGCAACTTTCACACAATATCTTTAGGTAACTGCGAATTCCCTTTGCTGTCCCTGCAAAGGCATCACTCTTGGCTCGAGCATGGCTTTGCCGCACACACCTCCTCCAGGCTGAGCGAGCATCGTACAACGGTGACAGGTCCTGACCTGGTCTCTCTCCAGAGGGGTGAGCTCGGCACTGAGCTTATGCCAGGCAAGGGAATTAGCAACAGTGATGCATGAACAGGGGCTTCCCCAGAAAAGCATCTTCCTTAGTCCTTGCTGAAGGGCTGCACCCAAGTATGTGTGCGTGGGCAGGGGTGGGGGAAGATGGGAAGCATCTCGGTTTCCGTGGGAGGTTGGAGCCCCCCGCAGTTGCAACCAAAGAAGGACAGAAAGCAACCAGCAAAGCAGAAAAAGGCAGTTTCCTTTTAAACTCAGCTTTCCATGGGCAATGTGGCAGAAAACTCTGAGCGTGTGGATCGAAGAGCAGAGCTCCCCGGTAATAGGCTCTGATATGGGGATTTGGCCTGTGGAGGGGAAGCCTGGGTGAAGATATCCATTTAGACCAGCTGAGAAAATACCTGCCTGAGCTGGGCTTCAGGAACATTTGTCTTTCTGAAAATGACTGGATCTCCTTTCCTCCTGAAAGCTAGATCTCCCCTCCGTCCATTACAGGCTCTATCATGTGCTTGGCTCATGCTGCCTGCCTCAAACCTAACCTGAATGAATGGTCTGGCCACACTCACAGCTTGATTTTTCTTACAGATGAAGAATTCCACCTACAGTTCATTTTTTTTATAGAGACACAGCAGTGCAATTTGCTAGACCAGATACTGTTAGAGAGCATAAATAAGTAGAAATAGGGAGTAAACAGGACATTGCTCAGCTCTAACACAGAAGCAGCAGAGCCAGCAGGGACAGAAACAGCCGTTCACGGCGACCCCATCACCGACACGCGACTGGTACACCCGCTTACACTCCTGCACCAATAAAACTTAAAACCATGGATAACCAGGTTGTGCTGAGGCTCACCCAGTCCAGCGCTACTTACATATAGAGCTGTGGATCTGAGGTCAGCCTGTCGATGTTGATATGCTGCTCCAGGAGGCTGTACGCCAGGATAGGTAGCGACGTGAAGCAGATGTTGTACATGGTAAGGTAAGCAGCATCATACAGTGGCTTAAAAGAGGAAGAAGGGGTCAAATGAGACACAAATTCCACTTTAAAAGTCTCCTCACAAAGAGATTAAAAGTTTCCAGCCCTTGCCTCTGTACATAGCCTACAGATTCATCCCTTTGTCATAGCCACACAGGACAGTTTCATGTGATATGGGTCACACCCCGTGCGATGCCAGGGGGGCCAAGGCAGCTGAGGCTGCGTGGCCGGGACCCCACTCTCACCACGGGGAAGTTTTGTAACTGGCTGGTCTCATCACCAGCTCATTCTCCAGAAAAATGTGATTCAACAGCCCTTATCACAGCTTTTCTGTAGCTGCTTTCGCGTTGCTGTTTCTATTAATATACTTGATGTCTCCTGTGACTCTCTAAAGACTAGACTGTTTTAGAGAAACTATGGCTTCTTCTTTTTTTTTTTTTTTTTAAAAAAAAAGCAGCAAGTAGTTCTGCCAAGACAGGCAGAGAATTATCTCCTATCATTGACTTTTCCTTACCATTACTTTTGAGCCCAAATAGACACAAGAGCCCGTAAGTCGACACAAAAGCCAAAGCTCTTGTCTCCAAGCACTTGAGCCCACCCGCCACACTGGACCTGTCCTCCTGACGCTCACTTGGACTAAGCAAGGCTCTGACGACACTCACCATGTGTCTTTTTTAAAGGCTGTCACAAAAGAACAAACTGTTCTTCCTTTTAAAAGACACCTTTAATGCAGGGAAATACAACAGGGGAGAAAAGATCAGGAAGACTTTGAAAACTTTTTCTCTTAAGAGAAGGAGAAGCAGCAAAAATCAGGTGCTGACAAACCAGCTAAACCCCTCTCTTGTTATTTTAGGAAGGCGTCCATCTGTGTTCATAGATGGGAAAGAAAGCAGATTTATTCCTTTTCAGTTGTGGGTCTCAAAAATATTATGCTCCAGATATAGTGCTGAGCAATGAGGTCAGTTCCTAATTCCTACTGTCCTCTAAAGCGAGGTGAGGAACGGACAGGATACCAAAAGCCAAGTCTCTGCTAGGAAGCCCCATTGTGCCACTTGCTTTTTATCCTGGCTTTATAGACACGTTACTGGAAGTTACCTGCTGTGAGAATCCACAGAAGAACTGGTATAAAAACTGTGGTAAAATGAAGCAAAGGTTCTAGGGAAATGAAAAAAAACTGGTTAGCAGGGAAGCGCTTCACTCCTCAATCTAAATCCAAATAATTTTTCCTGTTATCAGATATTAGTGTCTGATATTACAACACCAGACAAGTTAGGGTATTGTTTTCTACCAAGCACAAAACTAATCCAATGAGGTCTTAGTATCTGCAGAAGACACTGGAAGAAAGTCATGCTCACGTTCCCCTGGGGAAGCACTATTTTCAATTGACAGGCACATGGCAGAGACACAGCCTGTTCTAGGGAAGGAAAACAGAGCTACAGAATATCCTAGACATTTTTTTCCTGTTTACTGTTCTTTTTCTATTGTCACAGAAACCCATAATTATAAACACAGAAATAAGCTGCACACACATCCTTACCTTATAGAAGAAATACTGTACAAGGTGTGCTATTCTCACGTAATATAAATGCCCATGTGCTAGTAGCAATTTTCTTAAATGCTTAAACTTTGGCACAGCATAGTCGCTGTTTCTAGAAGCCTGCCGTCCTTCTTTGCCTTTTATACCTGGAGATAGAAGCATGGCAAGGGGTTAATCCCTATGGGACTGGAATCTGGACCGATGCTATGGCAAGGGGTTAATCCCTAAGGGACTGGAATCTGGACTGATGCTACCCACTAGGTTTGTTCACATCACTCAGTGTCTCAAGGCATGACAAAGGCCTCCCCCTCTCGAGTGCCCCAGGAGAGCAAAACACTAACGTGCTGCAAGACTCGGCGTGGTTTTGGCTCCACAACAGTCAGACCTGCCTCTGGAGTTTTTAAACTATATTTAGGTTGCTGTCTGAGTTCCTATGTAAGAGCGCATGGGGAAGAGTATCTAAGCAGACCTGATAAAAGATAAGGAATTGGTTTCCCGACGGGCTTGTCCACATCTCACACAGTCTAGTTATTTCACTGCGGACGCTCAGCCTCCCGAAACATCCCCGCAGAGCAGAGCTCAAGAAAGACAGTTTTGTTCACTCAAAAGTCACATCCAAACGAACCGCACTGGGACCCGAGGGCACCGCAACATTTCCAACAGCCCCAAATAAAGAGGCTGCCCTTTCTCTTCCATCAACCCTTCTTTAGCGGTATTAAAAAAATCTCCGGTATTTCCCTCTGACACCAATCTGCAGAAAGGAGGATAGTTTCCAGCCTGATGTCAGTCGTACGGACAGGGCAGACACAACATAACTGAGCATCAGCCCCTGGGAAACACGTACGGGTCCCCAGTGTTGAGTTACTAGCAGCTGCGACCAGTTAGCCCTAATAAAGTCTGGTATTTTCATTGCACTGCCTTTGCAACAACTGCCAGTAATCGCCCATCAGTTTGCTACTTGTGCCATTTTTTTCTGACCAGCAAGCAACCTTTACCACCTTGAATTTGGCCGTAGAGTTTTTGAACACCATCTGCAGTTTATCACTGATAAAGAGAGTGGTACTATCAAAGGTGAGCAGTATATGATGATCCCAAGCACTTATCTGGAGTCAAACCCTGGCTCCGAAGAAAGCAACAGCAGACTTTCCACATTTTTCAGTGGGATCAGTTTAGCCATGTGCAATCAGAAATACTGACTGCGCCTCAACGGGGAACCCCAGCAACAGCAGACAGGTCTGAGGTGTCAGACGGGTGTTACCAGGGGTCTTACCTATTCCAACGTGCGCTTCCAAAATCATACTAACATCATTTGCACCATCCCCTATGGAGAGTGTTATGGGGCTCCCTTTTGTGTTCTTCACCATTCGCACAATCTAAAAGATTTTAAAAAGGATAGCAGCAGAAACCAAGAATTCACTAAAAATCTTGCCACTTGCAAGAGCCCCCCAGGACAAGTAGCCAGGCTTTTACAGCAGCAAAATAACACCTGCAGAGTTCAGATTAATAAAACCCCTTGTTATTTCCTTCGCCGCCACCGACCAGAGCAAAAGCCAAGATCCAGCTGCACAGGGCTGAAGGACAGTATTTAAAAACAAATCCCAGGCAGCAGCATCCCGTCCTTCCCTTCTGCCAGACCCCGCTCTCCCGAAGGTGGGACCTCTCAGGCGTTTCAGGGGGCTGGAAACCCTCCCAGAAACCCTCCTTGGGGCCGAAACGCGCCGCTTATCAGGCTGGGATACTATCACCTGGTGTGAGAAAGTCAGAGACTCCACTTGACAAATTTGGAAAGGAAAAAAGAACAAATGGGGTTTTTTCTTTGTTTCTAATTGGCTTGGGCTTGCAGCTTCCTGCGAGCATATTAAACAAAGGTTTTGCATTCAGATTTGAAAGACTGCTGTGTTTCCATCATGCTCTGAAGCTCAGACGAGGCTTACACATAGCCTGGAGAAGCCCCAGCTGATTAAGACGATCAGGTCAAGTCCCAGCTGATGGATTAAAAGTGCATCACATCACTTAATGACGTGCTTCAGTCGGTTAAAAGTAGAGTAAATACCTGTGCTTTCTGCAAAGGAGCCATCCGGCAGCAGAGGACTGCGGTACACTTCAAGCAGATTTGTAGAAATATGTTTTTGTAATTACTAGAACTGGAGTCCTGAGAAGGGTTGAGTATCAGCGACAGCGTTGAGCCATCTATAATCAGGCCGTATTCTTGACTCAACGTCCAGCTTCTGCAACAGAATGAGGAACACGTTTGAAATAAAATCAGATTTTAAGAAGTCAATCTAGCCGCTTGTACCATCTGAGTGGAAAAGAAATTGCTTTTGTATTAATCTGCTTCCCATCCCTTTTTGGGGGCTTAGCAATCGTAAAAAGCTTGGATTTAATGTGTGCTCTTCACTAAGGGAACTCTGTCATTAAGTTCAAAACCAACTAATACTAGAAATGATGAGCAAAGCGAAGGAGCCAACTGCAGCGTGTGCAAGCAGCGAGTCCCCAGGGCCACAACATGGTCCTATTTCTTTATAAACTTTGCATCTGCATCCCAAATGCACACGGGCTGGGTCCTCTTGCTCACTTACCTCTTCAGACCTCCCCGGCTTTTGGGAACGTCCTGAATCAGCTTTTTATGGTACTCCATCAGCAGCTCATGGAGCCGATCCTCCTTCCTTTCGCTCTCGCCCACCGTTGTTGCCGTCAGCTCCAGCAGCTCGGTGCTGGTCTGGAAAAGCCTGCAGGCATAGCAGGTGGATTTGGCAGTTTCCATCTTGTCTCCCGTCAGCACCCAAACCTTCATGCCGGCTGCGTGCAGAGCTTCGATCGTCTCTGCCGACTGCTCCTGCAGCCTGCAAGCAGAAGCAAAACTTCACTGCTCAGGTTGGTCCACACTTAGTCCATATAACCCTTATTTTGCAGGTAGGAAATATCAGCTCAAGAGATGTTAATTGATTTGGCCCATGCTGGAGAGACCACTGCCACAGGAATAAGGATTAGAAGTCAGTAATCCCAAATTTTTATTTGCAGCCAAAAAAGAAAAAATCACTGCATTATATTGTGAGACCTAAGAGTCAAGAGTAAGAGTTTAATTTACACATACGGTTACTATAACTGCGAAATTGAATTTGTTTTGATGTGCAAATTAACGCCGTGTGTTTAATTCACTCTCTGGAAGTGCGAGCACTTCTGTAGTTTCATGAATAAATCCTCATTCTTACTACACCAGCCCATTTTAGCAACTAGGGCACCGTGTAATGGCTTGTGCCACAGTGTAATTAATTGCCCTGGACACTCCCAGCATCCGCCTGGCTGCTCAGTTCCACCACGGCGAGTCAGGGCCACGCCGCAACGTCGGGGAGAAACTGCAGGTACCGCAGCGCTGGTGGTGGTGGTCACCTCTTTACCTGTCTTCGACAGCAGTAGCCCCAATCAAGTGCATGTCTGCTTCTGTGTCTTCAAAAACCTTCGCCATCTTTTCCTCCCTGTCCTGCAGAGCCATCTTCGCTTCATTAAGTTGTTTGTCAATTTTGTCATACTCCTTCTGAGTTAGTTCTTTGAATGCCACACAGAGCGTTCGGTAGCCATCCTGGTAGGGGGAGGGAAAGAAAATGAAGTGGACAAGTGCCCTAAAACCAGATTTTCTACAGCTCTTCCCGTTAGGGTTAGTGCTTTTCTCCACCACCAGTGCTTTCTGTCAGTACTGACCCTGACGGCAATGACAATTTGTTGGCTTGAGACAAAAGACCAATTTCTCTGTATTCATACAGTAACTTCCTCCCATCAGAGTAACCGTGGTTATGCTTATTACGTGCATGCAATATGGCAGACAAAAACTAAGAGAGAAGGACCAGAGCCGAGAGCGTGCATCCAGCAGGGAGAGCTGGGACCGGGTGTCCCCACGACAGGGACCAGGCTTTTCTCCCATCGGAGGAAACCGCCTGCTATTGTTACTTCTATTTTTAACTTGCTTGGGAGATGCTCGGACACAACTGTGATGGAGACCATATAAGTATATCAAAAGTCAAATAAACGTTGGAGGCCAAAGAAACAGAAAAGGAAAGCAGCCCGGGCTTCAAAACAATGTGAAGCGACACGCAGATTTTCAACACTTCCCTGCAAAGCAAGGTCACATCCCTATTTTTGGAATAAGGCTTTCCTGACCCCAGGAGCCAGCCAAATTCCAGCCGCGTGCTTACCATAGCGTTGCGGTCCACGTGGACTTTCGTTTGTTGGATTTCTTCTTGCTTCACCCTTGGAAAAATAGAGGAGTCTGCTCCTTTACAGAAGAGGAGCAACTTTCCTAAAAGCAAATTATAAATAGTTTATAGCATCCACAAGCCATAGAAAGACTTAACAGATTCAATAGCCAGCAAATGATGCAGAGGGAGAAAATCTGGCAGGACTAAAGAAGGAACTGCTAGCAGCCTGGTTGCCTACCAAAAGTGGCCTCGCGCTAACCTGTGCAAAACCTTGTTTGACCTCAGCTGGGACATGGGTGTCCCTACCTGCCTCTGAGCAAGCTTTCTGCAACAGGCTGGACAAAGCAGTTTATTTTTTCCTATTTAGAAACCTTGACAACCTTTTGGAGGAGAATAAAAATCAGCATCCCATACCCTACGGGACTGACATTTGAGAAGGATGGTGACCTCTGAATTTTTGTCTGCTATCCCCATGAAAACCCACCCTGCTCAGGGGAAGGTCTCAGATCTCCCCCTGTAGTTGTACCTCCAAGCTGGAACAAGGCAAGCAGGGAGCTCTCCATGGGTCACTGTCCCCTCCTCTTACCTGCTGCTGGCCCCCAAAGGCTGCTCTGGAGAAAATTAACTCTATCCCAACCAGACCCAGTACAGAATTTAATTAGACCAGTTTAGGAAACCTAACAGCTTAGCCTCTCTGGGCACACATGTATGGGAGTCCAGAAATGTGTTTTAACTGTACCCGAGGTGGTTCTCACAATGACACTCATACGACGACGGACAGGATCAAAGTTCAACACATGGAGAAGTTGGTACCTTAAAAAAAGCAAAAAAGAATAGAGTTCAGACTCAGTGAAAGAAAAATAACTATTTAAGACAGAAAATCACTAACAACGAGCTGCAGAAATCCATACACCCTACAAGTGGCAGCACCCACTGGGCAACGTACTTTTTACTGCTACTGCACAAAAAAAGGGAGAAAAAAAAAACAAACTCCAGTGCTGCTTTGAGCGTGGGGCTGAGGGGGTGGGTGCGCACACGAGACCTCCCACCGGACAGCAAAGCTTTGGGTGACAGCTTGTGCCCGTGCTCCCCTCACTGCCCTCCGGTGCACCGAGACCCCAGGCTGGGCAGCGGCTCAGCAGGCAGCGACTCAGCTCTGGTATTTAAATCAGAAATTTTCCCATAAGGGGAGTAAGAAGCGAAACTTGCTGTGAAGGTAAGTTCTCGGGGAGCACTGGGATTAGGTCAGTGATTCTCAGATGTCCCGTGAGCTGTTAGCACAGTGTAAAATCTAATTCTTTTCAGCCTGGGAGGGGAAAAAAGTCACAGGGAAGGGAGGCGTATCATGCAGTTTAGGCTTAGAATATCCCGCTGTGCGGCCCAGCCACTGTCCGTAAGGTCAGCAACCTCCCGTGAATGCTGGGAGCCATCTGCACAGCCGGGCACGGATGAAGGACACATGCAAGGGACCACATGCGCCCAGGGGACCTGAATCTAGATGTCACTAAAACCGCCAGCAGGTTTTTGCAAACAAGCCTTCCAGCCTGCACCTTGCTGTGCCACGCTTTGTAAAAAGGACAGGATCTTTCGGGCAGGTCAGCCTGGTCTGACAGCCCTCGCGAAACAGCTTGGACCTTGCCAGGTTGGCCGCGTTGACCAAACTCGATTAAGCCGGGCGGGAGCTGGTGCAGCGCTAGGGGCCCTGCTCCTCGGCAGCCCCTGCAGCACTTACATTTCAGTTTCATTCTCTTGGTTTCGTATTTTCATGAAATCGTTTTCAAGTCCTAGAAAAGTGAAACCATACCTGTCAATAAACAAAAGGACAGAACAACATTGAAAACACCCATTGGCACATATTATACATTAACAATGTTCTCGTTTCACCTTCTGTACTGCAGAGGAGAGCAAAGAAGTTAGCGAGCCTGAGCTAAAAAGCTTGGCTAGATGTTTGCTTGCTCATGCAGAGCCTGCTATGATGTTCTGGCACCGCTCCCATGACCTGGAGAGCTGGGCACCACAGTGTGCAGACGCCGAGAGCCTCTGGACACGGTCCCCTGGGTCTCCGGCAGATTTAGAAGCTATGAGCAAGCACATACAGCTGCAACAGCCTCCGTCTAAAACCAAGGGGCTGGCAATAGCATAGAATGGTTTGGATTGGAGGGGATCTTAAAGATCACCTAGTTCAACCCCCCTGCCATGACCAGGGTTATCTTCCACTAGGTCAGGTTGCTCCAAGCCCCATCCAACCTGGCCTGAGCATCTTCGGCAGGATTCAAACATGGGTTTGATAAAAGTAAGCCATCCTATTATTTTGCCACTGCATGCCAAGGAAGCAATTTGGCTGCAATACGCACATGGTAACTGGTCTCCATTTCTTGGGATTAAAACACATGGCCATGGGGGCTCCAGCAAAGGAGTCTCTGCACCAGCCAGGCACTGCGGCACCTTGGGGCTGCTCTCAGCAGTGAATGCAAACCACGGCCTCCCGAGAAGCTGTTCAGGAAAGACCCTTTGCAGAGCATCCCCTTTTACAGAGAGCTCATTTAAACCCACAGTCTCACTTGGCTTCACAGGGCTGCGGGTCAGGCCCAGCACTGGTATCACAATGTGCTTCCCAGAGAGAGATGCAGTCTTGACCAGGGAAAGGGGTCTACCACCGTCAGATAACCCTCACCTCCCTCCCACCAGGAGAGAGGGAATTAAAAACTCAGTATCTTCGGTCTACCACCGTCAGATAACCCTCACCTCCCTCCCACCAGGAGAGAGGGAATTAAAAACCCAATATCTTCATATTCTTACTTTTCTGCGCCTTTCACCAAAGCAATTTCGTCTGGGGAAGAGGAGATATAGGTGTATTTGCGTTCTGGATGTCCTATCAGCCCATCCACCTGGTCTGCTTCCTTGATCTGGACGGTGTGGCACAGGCAGAGGGCTCGCAGGAACAGCTCCTCGCGGCTCTAGGCAGGAGTGAGGGAGAGCTCGTTATCAGCTTAATGCTGTGCATTGGTTGTGATTTTTGCGTATGCATGTTTTAAAACAAAAAACACACCCCTCGCCCCCAGCTTCTGCTGTAGTTACCCAGCCAGGAGCCGACCACAAAACCCTAACAGTCATCAACGTGCAGATTTCTTACCTTTTCTGCTTTGCCATAATATTTTAGGGGTCCATCAGTCTGAGAGAAGCCATCCACCTCCGAAATGCAGTCTTTGTACTTGTGCCCGTCTATGCAGCACTCGATGAACTCCATGCTGTTCTCCGTCAGGGTCCCAGTTTTGTCCGTGAAGACGTACTCCACCTAGAAGCAAGCAGGCAGGCTGCCTCGCTGCACCCCCAGCCCCATGTGCCGGGGAAGAAGCCCCTCAAAACCAAAAAGGCTGGGGCATTTTAGTGCATCTGTGGCAATGCTGGCGAGTACTTTGCTGCTATCCTAAACCTGGATCCCGCAAAAGACGCGGGTGTCCCACAGGAGTTACACCACTGTGTAGTTTTACGACTTTGCTCCTCAGAGCAGCTCCTTTGTTTTTCAGTGGTTTTGCACGGGTGGCAGGAGGCATCTCCTGAAGACTTAAAATTTGTTTCCAGGCTCTACATTTTCCCCTCACCCTCTTTATTGGGTCCTTTGCTATAGCTCCTAGCGCTTATAGAGCTGCTGCTAGAGCTCTACTGCCTCCTTTGGAGATCCTCAATTTAGCGCTGTATTTAAATTAGATAATGCTACTCCAAATTGATTTTTTTTTTTTTTTAAAGCAAAATAAAAGCAGAAGGCACTACTCGTATCCCACACTCAGTCTCTCCTGACGTAGATAAGAAAGGGAAGCCTGAGCTTTCTAATTGCCCCAGCAAAGCCAGCAGCAGCGTGGCTGCACGTGCGCTGCATGCCCAGAGAGATGACCGGGCAGACGTTTTCGTTAATCCTTGAAGAGACAGAGGATTTTTAATTGAAGCAGTGAAAGCAAACCATCCTGACATGCAGAGCACTGCGTCTGATATTCCCCAATATGGAAACAATTGGCATGACCCAATTCCTGCTCTTTCATGCACTATTTATAACCTTATCCATTTCAGAGAGCGAGCAGAAACACATTAAATGGAAAGTGCCACCAAACCGGCTGAAGCTTTGCCCTGAGGGGAAGGACTGCCACAACAAGGGTTCCAAATGTCCTCCTCCAAAGGAGGACATTTTCATCCACATTTTCATCCAAGCAGATAGCATGTTCTGACCTGCCCGAGCTCTTCGTTCAGGTCCGAAGTGTTCACCAACGCCCCCTCTTTTATTTCTTCATCGTACATCTCCTTGTCCCAAGAGATGAAGAAGGAACCCAAGAACTTCTGCATCTCTACTGTAACGTACATGGAGACCGGGATAATAAAATTGAAGAGGACCATAAACGACAAGAAGTCTGTGAACATCCGTAAGACCTACAATGGAAAGAGGAGAAGAAGATGCAGTCTGTGCCCGTCAGGTGTATCTCAGGGTCACGTTACAGCAACACCTCTGGGGTTTTAGACAGCTTTTCTTCTAAGGTTAAATAGAAAAAAAAACCACCTGAAAATGAATACAGCTAAGATACAGGGCCAAATTCCTTTTCCTTCAATGTAGAAAATCCCATTGTCCTCTGCAGATCTACGAGGGTATAATACAAGAGTATATCTCACTGCTTCATAGTGACCAAATCGATGTTTTTTTCAAGTATATTCCTCTTAAGAATATAGTGCTACAGGCTTATTCTGATCTCAACCAACTAGAAACAAGGAGCAATTTAAGTTTACCTAATAAAAGCTGAAAGATAGAGCAAGTTCAGATAAGAATCCAGGTTAAATCGGCTGCTGCATTTATATTATATTTATATTTATGCTTTGCCTGGCTCCACGCAAGCATCGCTGTGCACAAGCACGAGGGGCAGGAAAGAAACACAAACAGCAGGAGAGCTCAGAGAAAACGACAGCACTTCCAGCGAGCAAACAGGACTCGTAGGGCTGGTAGAAGACACTATCAGATTAAATAAAACTGTCAGAATAAATAAAGCTGGAGGAGGTGCTGAAATACAAATCCACTTACCTTGAACGTCTCTCTCTCTTTTTTAGTCTTTTCGTTGTACCAAGGCTCATCATTAAATGGATTACTCTGCCAAACATATTTCAGAGTCGTGCACACAGTAGCCTTGCTCAATAGGATGCACAAATACACTATCAAGAAAGCGTTGATAGATCTGAAAAATAGGTTTCTTTTTTAAATTCTTGCAGCTATTTTTACATGGAAAATCATGCAAATAAGCAGGAACAAGACTTCCTTACTTTTAAGAAGGGAATTACAGAACAAGTGCTTTTGACAGTGCTGATATTCAGGGTCAGTTCATATATTTTAACATTTCTTAATTTTGTTTTTAAATAAAAAAGCTACTAAATGATGCAGCTTCTTGAAAGATATGCTTAATCAAATATACAGATTTCCTATGCAATCAGAGAGCATCTGAAACAAAAGGCAGCAGATTAGGGGATTATTTCTGTACAAGTCATCCATTAAAAAGAAAAAAAACCACAACAGCTTTTACCGATCTTTTGCCGACTATAAATACTCACTTTTCTACAGCAGATCGTTTCTGAGATTTCCCTTGGTAGTTCAAAGCCATTTTCGTTTCCATTCCAGTATAGACTGCAACTCCTACAAGGTATTAAAGCAGGGCTCATAAGGGACTCGCAGCCCCGGAGGGACCCAGCTTGCACTCAGCCATAAGGGGCATCGGTGTTCACATGAAACGAGAATCTCAGTTGAAGAAAGAGGCATTACCCAAGGACTGCTCAACTACAGAAACCTCTGAGGCTGCTAATAATGTAATTGCATATATCCCAGAGCACTGAGCAGGAGCCTATGGATCACATACAGTCAGAAAAAACATCAGTCTTCTGTAACAGCCGTCACCCTCGATCACTAGTGGCTGGGGCTGTGATCCTAGCACACGTTTTCAGCAAAGGATTTGGGAACAACTCCCTGTTCTTTGTGTCTCAAGCAAAAAGAAAAGCTTGCTCAGGTGCATTAACACAACCTGCACAGCTTGGCAGCACTGCAGATACACCCAGTATCTCCTAATTTCACCCTGTCAACTTTGCAATCAGCTTGCGTACCGAATGCAGATGTAAAGCCCTGGCAGACAGGCAGTAGAGAAGTACTTTCCCTCACCAGACTTAGTGATGAGCATCTACATTTGTCATTACTTATCAGAACTATTTAAATAAATAAAATAATAATAATAACAACAACAGCTGTTCACCATAAATCTTCTTGGTATTTTTGAGGGTAGCACCTTTCAGCAACAGGTTTTCAGGACCCAAAGACCTAAACGCAAAAAAAGTTATAACATTATATCACTCTAAGAACATTCAAACTGCTTTACAATTTAGACCCAGAGATAGATTATAAAGCTAAACAGATGCTTTTTAGATCCGATTACTTGATTTGTATGTTAAATTGGGCACTGCTTGAGTTTGTTTTTCTCTTTATATACTTATATTTCCATTTCATCTTACGCAGACTATTCTGGGTGCCCAAAGTTCCAAATTTAATGGGGGATTATCAGTCAGGCTTTTGAGGAATAAGTGCAAAATGTTCAGATCTAATATGTTCCAGTACTTATATAAAAACCTGATCAAAAGTATCGAAAACCTGTCCATTCCAGCACAGTCGATCAATGGCACCATCAAAGCCAATGGCTTATTTTGCTCCCATTCGGGTTTTTATTTCTCTTCAAAACCCCCACCCATGACCCTCCGTTGCTTCTAGGGTCCGGGTAGATACACCACAGCACGAAACATGGCCAGCACCACTCCGGTGACAGCCGTCTGGTTTTGATGACTTATAAACATTGTTTGCTTATTTTTTCCTGAAACACCCTGACTGATGTTTAAGTTTCTGCTTTCCCTCAAATAACAATTTTTTGCAATCGCCTGGTAAATTTGTTCCCCATCAGCAGGGGAGGACGTTACCGGGTGGTCCTGCACTGCTTCCCCAAGAGGGGCTCCAATAAATCACAGGATGGCAGAAGAGCGTAAGTGGAGAGGTGAACTACAGCCTCCCTTTAAGAATGAAATATTTGGAATGGTTAAAGAAAAACAACCATTCCCTAACGATGGCAGCTCAAGTTCAGATCCCTGAAATCTGATGTAGATGCCCAACCTCTTTGAGCGAGGCGGCTGCAAGACCAACCTGGCTACAGGCTCTTGGTTGCTTCTGTAAATGATAATTCTTCCAACAAATCTGCAATAAAAATGAGAGAAACTTGTATTACAAACACATTAACCTTAGAGAGAGCTACTACAGACATACTAAAAAAAGTCATTGACAGGAGATGGAAACAAACACATCAACGAGTGCATTTGAGAGTTTAACGCTTCAGAGGGGTGGCTGTGCTTGGGACAGACGGAAACCATGCGCTCCCCGCGTCCGGGGTGCCCCCCCTGCCACCCACCAGCGGAGCAGCAGTACCTGACCGTGCCTACGCACCCCAGCACATCCCCATTGCAGAGCGCAACACACCTTCAAGAGATTTAACCACAAAGACCGCTTACTCCTGAAGTCATTCAGCCCAATACATTTTCCTTGAAGGTAGAGTGGCCTAAGAATGGGCATACAGGCCATTACTACGGCTGAGCTGACAAAAAATAGCTCATTACACCATGAAAAGCATTTCACCAGGGAGGTTTTGCTGCAAAGAAACTGAGCCCTGAAGAAGTCCGGTGTTGACTTTGCCATCCTCGTATGGAAGAAGCCCGGCAGCTTATCGCTGCCTCAGAAACCTTTCTGTCTCTGATGAAAAGAAAACGCCCTTCGCTTTGCCAAACTGCAACTTATCAGCTCCCCTAACCGATGGTGCTTGGGCGCCTGCAGGGAGACGACACCGGGCAGTGACAGGGCAGGAGGAGCACATACTCACTTGTAGAGGTCGGGCTGCGGCTGTTCGCACTCGATGGTGGCGGTGAGGGCGTCAATGGCTTCGTCCGTACAGAGCACGGTGGTATCCCGCACCGCGTAGTGAGTCTGGGCAAGGAAGCACAGGCAGCGTCACCACGAGCCCCCAGCAACACAGCCCACGTTTCACCCCCTTACTTAAAACACCGCCACGCAAAGGCTCCTCAGCACCGGCAGCTCACCCGAGCCCCGCTCCCACAAAACAGCTGAAGCATCTCTCAGCTAAAGACTGAGGTCAATAAGCTTAAGAGAAACCGTAGTGGGAAGGCGCTGCTGGATATCTGTTCGGTAAGGCGTGTACCAAAAGCCGAGCATCTTTGGTTTTCCCCCAGGGACTTGCTGCTGCCCTGGCTGGGGTGGGGGGGAGGCTGCAGGTGCCCCCGGGGCGAAGGGGCTCCCGGGGACCACCCGCCCGCTCCTGAAGGTAATTAGAAGCCAGCTCCAGCACCCAGGGATCAGGCAGAGCGCTGGCAGGCTCCAAGCTATTTTTAGCAGCAGCTGCTGCTGCAAAGGTTCATCTCTCACAATTAACTGGAAAGCCCACGAAGGATCCGCTCGCTGCCTTCCAGGCTCTATTTATAGGAGCTACCTCAGAGCTCCAAGTCACGGCGGGCTGCATGGTAGGCTGCCTTAATCCATCTTCATAAACAAATTCATTAAAAAGCTTCCTCCACTCCTTACGTTTGCGTTCCCCTCCCTGCGCATCCTGGGAGGAACCGCTGCGTTATACGCTGTAGTTGTGACATTATAAATACCCACCTTCGTGCCGTTTTGGTAACCTGCCTGGCTTTTCATCCTGAAAGCAGACGCACAAACACACACGCATCTCTGGTATAAATCACTGCCTTTGTGAAACACAACTCAAAACCGTTCCTGCAGTGCCCGGTACCAAACCCGGCCCTTGTGCGGGGTTCTGCATCCGCTGCTCCTGTCACCACGGACACTGCGCAATTACCAGTGATACTTCAAAGCCGCCTCCTAATCAAGTCCACGATCTTTACATCCTCGGTCCCTTAGCGTATTTAGAAAACACATGTTCTTTTAGATAACATAGGACCGAAGATTTGTGCTTCAAAGACAGAGCCCTGACAAAATCCCTTTTACAGTTCTGCTCCAGTTTCACTTGACCAGGCATCTTTCCCATACCTCAGCCTGACATACCCCAAATACCAGGAGAATCCCCACCAGGTAGGCAGCAGATATCCGTGCAGATGAGGTTTTGTGTGTACCCGAGTGTGCTTCCCTCACCCTCCTTTTGCAGCAAAGCCTGGTTCCTAATGTTAGACCTATTTCCCCAAACAGCACTTGCTTTTCTATTCCCCCCCTGCCCCTTCAAACTCATCTTCATCTCGTCAGGAAACAGGAGACAGCTCCCAGTCACCTACAGGAATCCCCAAACCAGGAAAAAAACACCACAGCGTTTGATATAGAAATTCAGCATTGTACTTGCAGACTCTAAAGTTAGTAAGAGCCAAGACTCTGCAGAAGTTATGTGAACTCATGCATATAATACACCTGACACAAATAAGCAATTGCCTATTTAACATGGTTATCTATTTTTAGCCTCAAGCCACTTCAAAGCTCCACTCCTCTTCACTAGTGGAACCAGTACAGTGCACCAGCACTGCATCAGCTCCTACACAAGATTTCCAGTACTGATTAACAGCTACCTATAAAGAGACGAGCCACAGACCCCATACAATACATATCAGATCGACAATGGTATTCCCACTGACTGCAGAGTGTGCCGGAATGAATCATGTCATTTTAAAGTATCTTCCAGTCTTATTACTGCAGTTGCTACTATCTGTATAAATATTTATCAAATGCAAGTGCAACCAAATCTTCATGTCTTCTGAAGTATATAAGTTTTTTGTTGTTGTTGCTCCCTCTTTCACTTGTTTTTCCCTAGTTTAGTGGGGGGGATGAATAAAGAAAGAAAATAAACTGAAGAGGAGATTCATCCTGAGCAAGACTAGTATTAAATTTCACTGCTTGATTCAGGGAAAGGGAGAGAAAAGAAACCCAGAAGTGATGTTTTTCTCACGCTGGTGAAAAATTCCCCAAATGAATCTAGAAATACTGCCTCAAAAAGTCCCTGATCTCACTGGAAAAGCTCGGTTAAGTAACAGATGCGTTGGCAGGTACTGGAAAGGGAGCTGAAGCAGCTGCAGGCGCTGCTTTACCGACGCACCAGACCTCACGAGGAGCAGGGAAGCACTAACACGCCTCCCATGATGGGCAAGGAGGCAGCGAAGTTGCATCGATAAATATCGCTACAATTTGGGGCAGTGCCAGCGGGAATGACTGTTGGAGACAAAATGGAAAACAAACAATCCCCAGGGGGCTTCGGTGCTGGGAGCACTGGGAGCAGATGGAGGGAAGAGCTGTAAATACAGCCACATGGCCACGGGGATGGGCTCCCAGGGAGCACCCTCCAGTTAATCACACAGCCCCTGGCGCAAGCGCCGGCTTCGGTGGCAGCTCCAGGCACCCGAGTACCGGCTCCTGAACGCCATCCCATCCATCCCCGTCACCTTGAAATTGGACTCGCCATCGAGACTCGCTGTAGTGACGTAACAGGTCCCATCAATGCTGCTTGAGGCCAAAAATATCAAGTCACAGGGGAAGGTCTCATCCGCTTTCACTTCTACTATGTCTCCAACCTGGAAGAAAGGAAACGTTTACATGAAAAGCCCTCTCCGTTGTTATTAGATAGTTAACGGATTTAGCTTCTCTCAAAGCCTACGAGAAATCACCTTGGCTAAGAGGGAAATCAGGGTTCAAGAGGTGCATGGGTCCCCGAGCATCACTCCACAGCCCGAAGGGTCGATCCAGCCCAGCACCAACACAGAGTGCCCACATGGCGCAGTTTGTATTTATTTCTCTGCTAAATTGTACAATAGTTTGGCTTGGAAGGGACCTTTAAAGGTCATCTCCTCCAACCCTCCTGCCACGGGCAGGGACATCTTCAACTAGATCTGGTTGCTCAGAGCCCCGTCCAACCTGACCTTGAACGTTCCCAGGGATGGAGCATCTACCACCTCTCTGGGCAACCTGTGCCAGTGTTTCACCACCCTCATTGTACAAAATTTCTTCCTTGTAACTAGTCTAAATCTGCCCTCTTTTAGTTTAAAACCATTCCCCCTTGTCCTGTCGCAACAGGCCCTGCTAAAAAGTTTGTCCCCATCTTTCTTATAAGCCCCCTTTAAGTACTGAAAGGCCGCAATAAGGTCTCCCCGAAGCCTTCTCTTCTCCAGGCTGCACAACCCCAACTCCCTCAGCCTTTCTTCATAGCAGAGGCGTTCCATCCCCCTGGTCATTTTTGTGGCCTCCTCTGGACCGGCTCCAGCAGGTCCATGTCTTCCCTGTGCTGAGGTCCCCAGAGCTGGACACAGGACTGCAGGGGGGGTCTGACCAGTGCAAATCTCAAAGGAGCAGAAGACTCTGTACTTGTCTGAAGTGCGGTGTGATGAATTAATGTCAAAGCTAGTGTACTTTCCTGCTGTCCTTGGAAGAGTTGGAAATAGAAGAGGACTGGCTGTCCCAGAGAAGTGCAAAATGCTGACAGATCTGTCACTTGTCAGCCCCGGTACAGCTTTTGCGAGACAGCTTTTCAAAAGCAATCAAAGGCAGCTTCACTCCTTAACCAGGAACAGCTCTCTGAGCATCTCGTCTGAAAGCGAGCACCGGGGCAGCTCTAACGGCAGCACAGCCCTCCTCCCCTGCCCTCGCCTCCTTACCACACACCCTCATGTTCCCATCGGCTTCAAGGATAACGACATGCGAGTTCTCTGTTAATAGTTACCTTGATTTTTTCACTCTCTTTCTGCACCTGCTTTGCATTTTCGACAATGAAGACATTGCTTTTGTTCACTTCGTTGTCAGCTCTGTGCCTCAGCCAGTCCTCGTATCCCTAGGCACACAAACACAGGCAACACAAACTCGTAATGAAGTAAATAAACTAACGAAAGAGGATGAGTGAGGATGGAAAGAGAGGGAGAGATTAAAAAAATGAATAAATTAAGCAGTCCTCAGACCTCCTTCATGCTTGACAAAACATCAACCACAGTAGCTCAGACTGAATCAATTTATTTTAAAAACTTCATATGCATATTTGACAGATTCAGAACAGATTAAAATAACACACAAAAATAATCTATATGCAGCACATGTAACGAGCAGCTAAATTACTGTAACATGTTTCTATTATTCTCAGTGTTGGCAAGAACAGGCTGATAATATGAATAATACACTTAGCGCCCTGCGACTCTTTCCTATGGTAACGCAGGACAAGACTCTTCCTCTTCAGTCCTCACTGAAAGAATAAAACATTCAGATTTGAAGCAGATGGATTTTACACTAGCTCTCCCTTTCTGGCCCTTGCAGAAGAGACTTCTTTTATTATTCAATCCTTCTGTAGAGGAAATTTTAAATGGCACGTGTGCGTACGATGGGAGGAAAAAGGTCTTTTAACGCCGCAAGAAGATGAGGACCACATATTTTCGAGACTAGCTGAGTGGTTGAACAGAACCTGTCCTTTCCATTTACCAACACGGGAGCAGAGCGCAGGCTATATTTGGAGCACGTCTCTGCATCCTGCAAAGACTCGGAGAGCACTTCTAAAAAGAGAAGAAAAATTCAAGTAAAGCCAGAACTACAGCGGTAACCTTTACTGACCCTCACGGCTTGCTTACAACAGTACATATAGAGATGTTTTACATTGCCAAAACAAGAGAGAGAGACCAATCATCACACACAACATGCAGCCTCTCTTGAAAAGCACCAGTATATGTGTCTGACCTTCTGAGAAGGGTTCACCAGCCCATTCTGGTGAGTATATTCAAATACATGCTCATCGTTTTCTCTACCACATGTCCCAAAGAGCATCTTCCTCTCATTGACACTTGTACCTGTTTGATAGCTGTGACAGTGATGACAAAGAAGAGTGGGAGGCCGCTGGTCACCGGGCTGGTTGGGGTGTCCACTATCACCTGCAGAGAGAAAAAAAAAAAAAAATGTACTGCTGACAACTGGTTTTCAGGCGGCAGAAGAAATAAAAACTCTGGTAATGGGGGAAAAAGGGTGCTCATCCTACTGGGGGCAAGTCACAGCCCAACAGAAGAGGGAGGGAAGGAAGGGGCACACGAGAAGGACCAGCACAGACATCCCCAGGAGTGCTCTCCTCCATCTTGAGAGGACTACAATCCCTCCTCTCCGGAAGACCGTGGGATGTCCTCAGGTGGGAAAAACCCTATCAGAAGTAGCTTAAAACCTAAATTTGACCTTGCACTAGTGGGAAATAAAAGCCTGGATGAATGGGCTACTGGGGATGGGCTACATAAACACAACTACAAGTGTGGGTGCCAACAAGCCTGCTCCCACCACGGGATGTGCTGGAGAGGACTGAGGCAGGGAAGGAGGATGGGGCAGAGGCAGCAGCAATGCATTAAGTGAAAAACACCCTCATTTCTCACTGAGCCACAGGAGGGCCATTTCTCCTCTTTGGCAGTGAAGATGGGGCACATCTGAACCCTAAAACACGGCTGGTTACGAGGGGGAGGACAGTACCAGTCGTCTTGAACCACTGACACTCAGATTAGAAATAACACACTTCAGCCCAAATTAGCTAGGAAAAATATTGCAGAATGGAACATGAATATTTAAGTAAAACAAGCTCTGAAATTTGGAGTTAAGAGCACAATTTAAGCACAGCGACTGCACGAGGGCCTTGGGGTGATAGCTGGATTCTTCCCAAGTTCAGTGCAGCACTCGAGCTAGCGCCGCGGCAAAGACCAAGCCCCTTCATCGTTAGTTAAACCTTCGGGCTGTGGGAAACCGCTGTTTCTTCTGACTGTACCATGACTTGGCCCGAAGGGTAAGAAAGGCAGAACAGGTTTGTAACTGGGAGGGAACAACGTAAGAGGAGGAAAAGCTGCGCCCTTGCCCCACCTTCCAAACCAGGGCACACAAAATCGGCCATTTTTCCTGCTGTCCCCGGAGAGGATGGGAGCACGAGAGGCAGATGGCGAGGGCTGTGATGAAAGGGACGGGGAAGCTCAGCAGAAAGGCTTTGTGTCCCCACAAAGGGACTTTGTCTCCCTCCACTTGTTTGCGCTTCCCTGGCAGGCTCGCAAACAGCAGCATCTGTATATTTATTGTTTTAGGCTGTCCATAAAATGCTGTGTTAAGGACAGGACTGCTCTTATCGGCTGGGAGGAAGCTAGTGGAAATTTTTAATTCTATGAAATGCCATACACTGCAATTTTACCCTGCACTATTGGACCCAAAGAGAGAAGAGCCAGAAGATATTGAAGTGGAAGAGATACACCGTAAGCGGCAGCCAGGTAAGCGGCGTATGAGTTAAGTAGCATGAGGGTAAACTAAGATAAACGCAACAAATATTTCCAGGAACACAAAGCCCTGGCTCACTCAAATGGGTGTAAAATGCTTAGAAACAGAAAGTCTGGTAGAAACCAGACTTTGGAGGAACAACCTTGAGCAAAGATGGTGCCAAGCGTCACACAGACATGTGTGACGGACGCCTACTGGGGTGGCATCACTGAAGTTCAGGCCAGTCAGCCAAAAGTTAGCCTGCAAAAATTGGACACACCTGGGAAATACAAGAGGAACTTTGGCTTTTAGCTGAGAAGGGCAAGGGAGAGGACCTTCTGCTGCCCAGCAGGAGAGTTCTCTGCACTGGACAAGATGCTGTTGTATTTGTTTAAACAAATGATAGGATTTCTGCCCACGCAAATGCTGTATTATACATGTATGAACACAAATATCAAATGAAGTCCCCAGAATAACTCATTTGTGTATTTGGAGATTGCACTCCCTGCGCATCCCGTGGCTGGATACTGCTCTTCCCCTTCGCAGCTGGTGGAAAGCCGAGGGACACACGAGCAACGTGCCAGAACATCAAAGGCAGACTCCTTTGAAGCTATTTTTGAGCTGTTTTAGGACTTCAGCAGCTTAATTTGGATCCACTTAAAAGTGACAAAATCCTCCTGTTACTTAATAGTTTCTTCCTAACTCATTGTTTAGGAGACTGAAGACCACAGACCAGAAGTCACCTCCATCAATTGAAAGGGACATTTTTCATTCCTGGCACCTCCTAAATTAGCTTACTGCCATCAGCTTGGTCTGCCTACAAACATAGTTGGACTACAATTACTCCAGGCCAGCCATTTCCACCAGGAGTTTACTCACAGTTTCCTTTGAGTGTTGCAACAGATGAACCAAAGAAACAGCTATTTGTATCCCTGTTAGTGCACTAATAGGTATTTTATGTTTAATGCATGTATTTTCTCTTCCTCTCTCTAAAACAAGAGCTGAATTTGCAGTCTCGGAGTAAGAGCCATTTAGGTAAAGGGTTTCAGCAGCAGGTAGAGCAGATGCACCAGGCAATTCCCCAAGCGCCGTGATACTTTGTTCCTAATGCAGCACGTAGGGCAATTCTATTAAAGTAATTTTAAAAGATAAGCACCAACGTTTATGCTATAGATGCCATTTATCAAGGTATAACCCTGGATATTTTAAATGAATGGAGTTGCCCTGAGTGCTTTTTTAAGGCAAGTGACATCTCCAGAACGACGAGCACCCAGGGGCAGTCAGTTACTCTATAAGGCAGCAAGTATATTAGTGCTGTCAGGTGGGTTTTTGTTCAGATGGGATTATTTTTTCTCTAATAGAGCATGAGGTTGCTTCCTTATTTTAGAGGTAATCACAGATCACAGAATAAAAACAAGAAGGAATAGCAAGGCTCTTCTCTCACCTGCATACCCCTGTGCCTGAAATGGGTAAGCAGCTAAACTGCAACCAGTTTGGTAAGTATAATCAAGACTATCCCATGTTCTGCACGGCCAGAGGGTCAATAGATAAAATGTAATACCACTAAATGGCCAACTACACGAAAAGGACATCCCGACTCCAGGGCATCGCTTCAGTTCAAGGCAAATTACAAATTCACTCTGACAAAATGGAGCAACGCCAGTGAAATCAAGTGGTGGAGAAGAGCCAGCTGATGTCGGGGTAAATTGGCCTTTCATGTAACACTGCCAGGAGGAGCCATCCTCGGCCGTTATCTTGGGAAGCCCCGTTTCTGCGGCAGCCACCAAAATGACTATAAGCCATAACTCTTTACTGTAAGGATAAAACATTTTAGGCACTCGTCTTTTGAACGTGCAGCCTGGAAGAGAATGATACCCCAGACCTGAACCACCAAAACCCCTGAGAAGCCACCTAAAAGCAAGCTGTTTGCAGTAGCTGCATGGTGCCATTTAATTTGCTGGAGTAGAGTTTTTGATGCCTGTTTTCAGCCCTCGAGCAGGTTGTCTGCCGAGCCCCAGGCCTGAGTACAGGATTTAAAAGGTGAGTAAATGCACTGCAGTGATTCCCCCAAACTCTCTTCGCCCGAATGTATTTGGACAGCCCGCTTTTCTTCTTGGCTGACAGAACAGAAAATGACTCTTCAGGTTTGCTCAGGATTTGCTCCTTAACCAAAGCCACAAAGCAGAGCAGAAAAAGTTTATCCATGTATAAAATTTGCTATTTTGTCTGTGTAGGGCAGCTTCCTGAAGCTTCACATTCCCAAAGCTCATGCTATCCATTTTCTGATCCATTTACTGAGTACAGCCTACCTCTCCTGCTTGCCTTGAAACTCACTATAGCTAAGATATACAAATATCATAACTGGGAAAATACATAGTTACACAGCAGAAGTAGTAAAGACAACAAAAAACTAGATCTTAATTCCATAGCATCAAATGTATTTTCACCGGTTGACTGATCTTAATGGTTAAAGAGTTAAGATGGTTTTTCAATTGTTTCAGCAGTCATTCAAACATCATCTCAGATAGGCCCAAATATTTTAATTGTTATTATGCCTTGGATGGTGTGCCAGAATTATCGCACAGCATCCAATTAAAAAAAAAAAAACCACCAACAAAAAAAACGACTTATAAGCACCAAGAGTCAGCTTTGAACCTCAATTCTTGTTCAAGCTGCGCTTACCATCAGTAGGTAAATAAAGCCCACCCTTGACATCAAAGCTCTTACCTGCACGAGGAAGATGATGAGGAAGTAGAAGTTGGCAATTCTTCTAAACTGCTCAAAAAGGTTCTTCGGGAGGAAGTTCCAGAGGGTGTACTGTGGGGAGAGAGGGGGGCTCACAAACAGACCAAGGGACGGGGCTGACTGGGACTTGAGCTACAAAATGGGAAGTATCTGCACGGAACAGGAAAGGAGTTTTCCCTTTCACCCGGCGAGGAGCGCCGCAGCGAGCTGTCTGAGCAGCCCTGGCGTGCTCCAGGCAAAGGTCCAGGTCCCCGCTTTAAAACCGGGAGCAGCTGGATGCCGAGATGCCACGGAGCTCCTGCTTCAGCTTCCAGCACCGGCTCTCTCTGCTGGTTCATTAAACAGCTGGAAGTGTCTCTCAGTTACGTGGGGTTTTTTTTATTTGTTTGCTTTAAAGCAGGCAGCTATTTCTCTTTTGACAAAATAACCCAAACCACACGGTTGGAGATGGTGAAGGGTAAAAGAAGATAAAAACAACAGGATCTGTTTCAGCAAACAACTTCTAGATAGGCATTTGCAGAGGAGTGATTTCATGAAGAGGTAATGCACAGTGCAGAGATTTTTTTTTTTTCCAAAACAAATTCCAAAAAACATCTTAAAGGTGCTCTTCTGTTAAAAAAAGCCATGTTGCCCATACAAATTTGTTAGTAGGTTGTGCTTTATTATAATTTTAAGAAGGCTGCTGAATCATTTGCTTTGGAAAATGTGGAATTTAAGGACAACGTGGAAAATAATGTGTCTAATATCTGATCTTTCAGTCTGCCTCGAATAAACAAAGAATAATAAGCAGCCAAGTCTCAAGACCAATGTCCACTTAATTATAAAAAGAGACTGGTCAGGTAAGAAGACTCTGTGCCTAGCAAATATAAATGGAAAAAACCAGCAAGGACACAACATTCAAAAATAAATCAGGGAAGAATTAAAATTAATGCTAAAACAAACCATTTTGTCAGAGAGGGAACTGAAAAGGGGGAAGGTGTCCTCTCTGAAGGACCCTCTTGCGTGCCAGGGAAACATCAATGGGAATGCTACACAAGTTAAACATGGTTAGACTTAAAACTTTCCCCCAGTATAAACTCTGACAGCTCAGAGACATAAAACAAAATAAGATCCAAGCCGTATAAAAAAGAAAGGAGAGGGAAAAACCCCCTCACAGCTCAAGTACAGTAAAACTGAAGCCTAACTGTACGCTGAGCATCGTGAATCCTAAGCAACGTAATATGTATCCAGCTGTGTTGACAATATGGGATGTCACTTGTTTGATATTTTACTCGAATTGGCTTCAAATCTTTTGAAATAGCTTCATGAATGTCATGGAAAAAAGCTAAGCAGAAGGCAGATGGGTGTCATCACAGTTTTCCACCATAAACAAAAGCTGCATTAATACCATATGAATGTTTCCCCTTTCATCCAAAGGGATAAACAGAGCATGGTTATTTTCGTCCTATCTCAAGAGAGAAAAAAACCCCACGGAACAAAAAAAAAAACCCGCAAACAAAAATAGAGGAATCGTATTTTTCTATCCATCTATAAAATAATTCCTACTCCCTTTTGCAAACCTGAGTTGCTGTCGTCTCATGCTGTATTACACTTAACCTGTCCTTTCTTCTCGACGGGAATGCCAGAAAGCATTAAAAAATACCCACGCCACCCCAAAAACCCCACAAAACCAACGTGTCCATGTGCTTTGCTCTCATCCAGCCTACAAGAAAGCAACTTGTGTGCACCCCCACTGGGACTGATAGGAAGAAAAAAAGACTAATAGAGAGACTGGAGCGGTGGTGCAAGTTATGTACCAGGCTGCTCCACTTGTGAAGGGACCTTTACATCCATCCTTGAGGAATTCGGAGTTTCTCAATTTCAAAAACAACCATCAAATAAAATGAGGATGAATACACAAGCAGGGAATACATGCGGATGATGCACCCGCCGGAGCGGAGCAAGCTCACCTTGGAGGAGACGATCCTGTTGTCGCAGAACTTCTGTGCCACGTACGCATCCGTTTCCGAAACCGGACGATGCCCGACCACCACGGTGCGCGTACCGACCCGCTTCTCTTCCCCAGCACACTGTGGGGCAACCAGGAAAGGGAAAAATCAGCTTTTAGCTCAAAAAAAGTCAAATATTTGTATTAATAGCTTCCAGCTTCTGAATGCACCGTGTTGTTCATAAGGCAGCTGGAACCTCAAAAATTCCCTTCTCTACCCCAGCAAAAGCACAGAGAACGACGAGGCGCACATAAGGCCATTTCGCAAAACCAAGGCAATGCCGAGGCTGCAACCCGGGGTCCCCACCGCTGCTCAGCCACCGACCCCCCAGGACCACAGCCCGTCCTACACCCCTCCAGGACAGGTCACTGCTCACGTCCACCGTGCTCCTGTCCTATTGCTGCTGCCTGTACTTGCAGCCTGTGCCCGTCTGCCAGGCAATTTTTCCTTCTTGAAGGAGAATATCTCTTTATCAAGCACTTCAAGTCATTACGAATATAATTTGTCTTCTACACATCTCTTCCTAGTCCCGACCTGGAGAGTCCTGCAGCCTTGGGTTTCTACAGCAGCTCCAGGCTTTACCCCAGGACCCCACGGAGGACGATGGAAACTGCACCCTCCTTTACCCTTGCTCTCCTGTCAAACCCTCAAGTCCACCCGAAATGTCTCACCACCACACTGGTGCACGCAGACTTCGGATTTAGCTTAAAAAAAAGTATACTTCTGCTATTTTAAAATCTCAGATAAAACCAGAAATAACGAAGCAGACAGTTTCACATCACGAACTCCTCAAAAAGACACGCAGGGTGCTGGGGATGCCAGCTTGTCTTGCTGGGGGCTTATTTTAAAGCAGAATGAGATGTCACAAGTGAATGACAACCTGGTGTCACAGGGGCTGGACAACAGCCCCTCTGCCCACAGCAGCCCCGGGAAGGACGAGGGGAATTGCAGCAGAATAAACTGAAACCGAGGGGAAGCAGAGCATCCCTTGCACGGAGCCATGAGAGATACTTGCAAGCGGCAACATGGGGCTCTAGCAGAGACCCAGCCATCGCCGTGGCCCTTGCAGGCTTCCCAGGGGAGGACACAGCACCCGGCAAATTAAAGATAGATCCTCCCAATCCAATGGAGAGTGTTAAAATACCACAATAGTAAACAAGGTATCTGAATATGCTGGAAGTAACGGTGCTCTTCTCATTAAATGTAACTCTTAAATATCAAATTTCCAACTTTCTATAACTTCATTTAAAAAAAACTTGCAAACTTGTGACAAGGCAGAGGCAATGCAGGTCCCTGGCAGTGCCTGCAGCCCTCGGGAAGGCTCTCAGGTGGATGGGGCCACACCACGGGCTCCGTTTCCATCAGCTTCCAGCTCCGGGCCGCCCAGCACATGCAAGGTCCTCCATGGATCAGAAAAGTCTATTTTCAAAAGAAACAAAACTGTGCAATAGTTTAAAAACCAGCTTTTTGCTCTCTCCAAGTTCCACCTTGCATATAGTAAGGTGTCCCCGCCACAGATGCTTGCAGCCAAGGGAGGAGACCCAGCTGGCACCAGGAGGCATTTTGCAAGGTTGAACTTAAAATTATAGAGTGAATTTAAAATGCCCACTAAGAGGAGATGGAGTGGGGGAAAAAGCGGTCTTCTTAGGCCCGGCTAAGATTTTCTTAGAGTAAAGGTTTTGGATTTTAGAACATGAGCAGGGAAGACATTTGTCACTGTTCATGGTTCAAGGGCATTAACAGGCGGCAGGGCTGCTAAAACACCAGCAGATACTGTTCATACTCCGCTTAGTCTTATTAATCCTCAACCCTAGAGCTTGTTTGCTTTGAAACCCCACCAGGGCAGGTGCCAAAAATGCCAAATCCCTATCCCGTGTCAGCTGTCCGGCCTGGGCTCAGCCCGCTGCGGGCGGATGCTCCTGGCGTGCCCTGGGTCCAGCTCAGCATCCCAGTTATCCGAAGGACCCGTCACAGGCAGCTTGTCAAGCTGCAAACAAAACCCAGCTAGAGAAAAGGTGCTCCGAAAACAACCACGCTAAGACAGCAAGGCCCGGGATTAACCGCTGCTTAGGGAAAGTGTTAAAAAAAAAAAAAAAAAAAATTAAAAAACCTAAGCCAATCTAATTCATGTACCGGGAGCAGCAGCAACTGAACGGATCCTGCTGCACCAGGAGCAGGGTCTGCCCAAGGGAAGCGGCAGCTCTCCCTTCCCCTGCTCCCCACCCATGTCTGCGGCAGCTTTAACTGGAGAAGTGTTATTACACCGTGCCTAAACCCGGTCGGTGTGCTGACCGCTCTCGCTGCAGCCTCCTCAAACCTCCAGCGGCAGTCGCTTACAGCAGAAGAAGAAAGTTTCTCGCACCCCTGCACTGCCCGGACTGCGGGGCCAGCAGCACCCACCGGCTCCCACCTCCACCGGGCACAACCGGCTCCCCCAACATGGAACGGGGGGGGGCAAAACACTCGAATGGGAAC